TGGCTAAATTAAGAGTGAAAAATTTCCATGGGAAAGGATGTGCTATTAGATGAAGGATGTGCAGGAAAGAAATTGTGTTCCTCCCTCTTCCATGATCTTTTAAGGGCCTTTGATTATTTTATTTGATGTGCCCTTTAAAAAGAGGGCATAGCTGTGTCAATGGCAAAAAAAGAACAGTTGAGCAAAACTGAGCTGAGGAGAAAACAAAAATGCACAGAAAAGAACTGAACGCTTTGCAACTGAGCAAAACGAAGCAGCAGAACTTTCAGATAGCAGTAGCTGACAAGTGCCAGTAACAGTCACAATAATGCAGTGATATTACAACCAACTCCCTCCCTCCCAATAGTGAATAGAGGCAGAATACAAGGGACCAGAAAATCTGCAATTCCAAGGGGTAGATTCTGGCAAGGTGAGGAATTTTATAGGAGATGATCCAGAGTGAAAACTGCAGCTTATAGTGTCAGGAAGGCTAAGTACCTGACAGCAGCTGCAGCCTTGAAGAAGGAGGTAAGAAGCCAGAGTTAATACAGATTCTCCCCTACTGAGATCAAATAAATGAGCCACGGGACAGAGTGGATGGGGAAATCACAGACTCAGAAAGGAATAGCCCAGACAGAATTGAAAGGAAAATAGATAAAGAAGATTCAAGAATGTGAATCTATTTAACTCCAGAATCATAAAATAAAGGATGAAGTTAGAATATAGAACAATAAAAGTAGGTGGATAGATTAGAACTGTAATTAGGGATAGAACTGTAAATAAAGTTCCATGCGGCCGGCCTGGCGTAGTTTTGATTGGGTTTTGTTAGGGGTTTTATATTTTAGAGCAGGCTTTTATGTAATATTTACTGTGATTTTTATTATTGCCTGTTCACCGCCCTGAGTCCCGTAAGGGAGATAGGGCGGTATATAAATTTAAATAATAAATAAATAAATTAAATAAAAATAGAACAATAGAGAATAAAAGTAAAAATAGTTCTCTGATATAACAACTTCAAAATAGAACTATTATGAGAAAACTTTATAATATTTTTTGGTAGTAAAGTCTTTGCTGAAGGGAATTGTCATAACTAATTCTGTAACTATTAACCAAATTGCATCTATATCATATATTAGTAGTGAAAATTATAGTTTTATACAATGAATAATTAATGTATGAAATTCATTACTTAAGAATTTGTGATATAATAGCATAATTATTTTTAAATAAAGGTTTATACTTCAAAAATGGAACAATAAACGTGAGTAATAAAACTAAGAGGTAAAAAAATATTATATAAGGTCAAAATAAAGTGAGCATCAGAATAAATAGAGTTGAGATGTACAAATAGTTACGCTTTTGAGAATGAATTGTTTTAATAGTCAGAAATCTAGGACAAAAAAACCCATAACTACAAATATTTTTCTTATTTGATATGGGACCTGAAGAAGAACCTTTGTCAAAGATTATAGGTTTGATAAATCTGGAAGGGGTTACTAATCGGATAACTTGACCTCAAGTCTTTTTGTTAGGAGAAACGTTCTTTAAACCAGGGGTGTCAAACTGCCGGCCCACGGGCCGGATGCATCATAGCGAAACTGTGCCCACTCTATTGCCGACAATGGCAAAAAAGTCATGATACGTTGCGACTTTGACACTCCTGCTTTAAACAATCCTTCAGACTTTAGAGTGCTTTGCCTCTTCCCCATTCAGAGTAAAAATGAAGCAAATGCTTGAGAAAGTATGAATTATTCCAACCATTCTTATGGAATATAAAAATATAGCTAATGACAGTAAGACTATGATCTGTTGGATGAGAAGGACAAACTGCTGCTTTTCCATAAAGATGCACATGAATTGTGGGCTGACAGTAGATGAAACTGGGAATTCTGTATTCATTAATCTCTACTCTCTTTAACTGAAGGACATCCACTGTTGCACTTTAAGATTTGGGAGGTAGTTTTTATAATTTCCATGTGCAGTAAGCTTCTAGAAACAGTTTTGATCTTTGAAGATCTACATAGCTTGGCACCTGACTAGGTACAGAACTGTCTACTTCTATTTAGATCCTATTCATTCTGTGTATGCCTCTCAGGAAGCAATGCTTAAGAATCCTCCCCATGCAATCTAGGAAACAGTTATAAACTTCTGTTTTCTTTACCTTGCCATCAAATTCAAGACTCTGTAAAACAATTCATAATGTAATTACTGTAACCACTTTTTTCAGAGCTTAAGGTGGTATGCAAGCATCTCTTCTCCCATTCATGTCAACCATAATTTCATGTATTAACTGGGTTGAGACTGAATGATTACCCCAAATCACAGAATGTTTCATAGCCAAGCATAAGTTTAACCTGGGTTTTCCTGGTTTCTTAATTGCAAAACTAATTTTAAGTAGCTCTGATTAGGAGACTGGAAGAAAGATCGAGAAGTGTCCTTAAATTTGAAGCCTTTTTTCCTAGAAATATAGAAAATATATGTTCCAAATTTAGCCAAGACATCAAATTGAATATAAAGAAAATTAGCAATCTGGACTTTTGAGATAATTATAATTCTATGTCCTAGTAACTTCGTATTTGGACTTTCTTTGTATTCTAATTTTAGGTAGCCCAACAATTATTTTTTGTTAATAATCTTCACTCCAGCACAACATCCTATGATTTAAGCTGCTGAAACTTTATTTCATGATATTCATGAATAAATAGATATTAATGAAATTAAGACAATCTGAAAACTGGCACTCTAAGACAAACAACATTTATGGAAACAAATTTATAGAAAGATTTCGTTATAGATACTTCTGAGATCTGTATACTCCTTATTTAGTTGCCATTAGAATAAAAGGTGTATTTTAAAATGACACATTAAAGAGCTGCTGTGGGGGTTTCTTACCTGATGATTTCAGTTACATACTATGCTTTAAAATAATTTGTCAGTTATTTTAATAAGCAGAAAGAGCTACCCCCTAGTGGAGTAATGTGCAAGTGCATCTGATGTGATATGTTTCTCATTTTTAATCTGGCTTGAAACCAGATTCCATATCATACCATCCATAAGAGAAATTCAGTGAATAAAAGTGTATTACAGTGGATCAATTGATGCTGTATCTCCTGTTAACAAATTAAATTACTTGGCTTTTCAGTATTATATCGTTGATGTATTATCATATTGTGCTGTGGAGTTTGTTTTGTTTTTGTCAGAATTTAAAGAACCAAATAGTACTTTTGTGTAATCAAAGATTCTTTGGCTTTGATTTCTTGATTAAGACTCCCTAAATGCACCATGGGATTTCTAAAACAGTTTAGTTTAACTGGAGGAATTGAATTCCAATATTTGTTCGAGTCTTTGTCATATTTTCATCCAGTTTTATGCTAATATTATATACTTAGCCAATTAAAATGTCAATAGCTAGTTCTTTATTACCACTTAATGTAAATTAGTATTCCATAATCTTGTTTTTTTTAGGTCTACAAATCTTAATCCTACAGTCAGTAAAGCAAAAAGGCATTAAAGATTAAAAATATGGTCTCATATTTCTGAAGACTATTGGAAATTACTCCTTTGGCCTGAAGATTTAGTTTAAATTTAGAATGAATATTAATTTACAACTTAAAATATTTTAATAGCACATATATGCCTTTTCATTTGCTTTGTATAAAAGGATAAAATTTTAAAAAGTTCATTGGGAACTATCAATGTTTGTCATTTATATTTTTATATACAGAATAGTGTTTGTTTATACTGTATGCTAAACATAAACAAAATAGTATACAATCAAACTGATGACAAGTGGCTTTAAAACTATTTAATGTGCATTTTGATTTTCAAACCACCTCAGTTCTTAAATATTTTTGAAAAATTAGGATTGGAGTCAATTACTAAGATTAGATTAGATTAGAATATTAATATTAATTAAGAATCACTGTTTGTTTCACAGTGTTTGTAAAACCCAACTTACAAATATTCTATGCAGTTTACAGTAACACAGTAGAACACAGTAAATACCCTGCTAATCTGAATACCAATTAAAATAAAATGGTTAAAATAGATTATTAGTTCTTGATTTATGACAATTTAGTGACAGTTCAAAGTTATAACTACATCACTTGATGAGTAAAACTCTGGTCCCAATTGTGGTTGTAAGCTGGGGACTACCTATACCAGGGGTCTGCAACCTTGACAACTTTAAGACTTGTGGACTTCAGCATAGCTGGCTGAGGAATTCTGGGGACTGAAGTCCACAAGTCTTAAAGTTGTCAAGGTTACAGACCCCTGACCTATACAGTAGAATCCAGATGCTCGATGCTAATGTTTGAAGGAAGAGCCAATTCTGCTTTTTCACGTTGACTAGAGTGGAGTCTATTCAGATCTTACAAGTGAGTTTATTCCACAATATTGATCCGTAATGGAGAAGCAATGCTTCTGGGTCTTAGCAGACATAACATCTTCTGTAAGAATTTACAGAATGGTTTTTGAATTATTAACACTTTTTGTAATCTTTTAGCTAAATGTTTGTATACGTTTGAAAATCTTTAATAATTTTTATGTTGTCAGTTACACATATGTGTATATTGTTTCATGCATTTCCATTCCCCTAAAGTATTTCCATAATTAGAGAAAACACATCCCATAATCAGTTGTGAAATAGATTTTTCAAAACAAAATGTATATCGTTATTTAAAATATTTTCATTATACTTGACACTACCATCAGTGTCAAATTTAAATACAATAGTCTATAAGATTCTTACTGTATTACTGTGGGCATATAGTGTTTTGTTCTTAATATTTCCTCTTATACCACTTAGATTTAATTTAATATATAAAACAGACTATTAAAATGCATAGAAACAAGATTTTATTTGCAATAAGTTCATTGCAATATAAAATTAAGTTGATATGTTACGTAAGAAGTATTCTGTGTTAAGAGATATTCTTAATATCTAAATCTATATAATTAAGAGTATAATAAAGTTTATAATTGTGACCATTCTCTTCTTTTTCTCTTCTCAGAATGTAAAAACGTTTGCATCTTCAGATAGTTTAGGGAAGGTCCAAGAAGTAGCAAACTGGCTTTTGGAAATGAATCAGGAACTCATATCTGTTGGCAGCAAGAGACGACGAACTGGTGGTTCTATTCGAGGTAATACATCAAGCCAAGTGGATGAAGAGCAGATGAATCGAGTTGTGGAGGAGGAACAACAGTTACGACAACAAGATGAAGTTGTTGCAAGAAATGGGGAAATTGGTGAAGGCCAACCTGGACTGTGTCATAGAAATGAATCTCAATTGGAAGAAAACAACAACAGATTTATTGAAGTAGATGAAGAATATTCTGGCAACCAAGAAGAGGAGGAAGAAGATGAACATACTGGCATACCAGAGGAAGAGGAGGACATGGAGGAGGAAGAAGAAATGGATCAAGATAGTGATGATTTTGATCAATCTGATGAAAGCAGCAGAGATGAGCAAACTAATTGTAATAATATCATAAATTCAAATGGTAATATGGACTTAGCAATACATCAGCAGTCATCGCCATTCTATATTAAATCTAAGGTGAGTAACTTTAAATA